CTCATCTTTCTCCCACGGAACCACTGGTAGTTTCGAACTGCTGACCTTGAGGTTACCAGCCCAATTCGTAACCACTACGCTACCAGAGCTTCTTAGTCAGTCTTAAAATATGGTCAAAAATTTTCCAGCTCTCTTTTAAAAAGATGTCAAACCTTACAGATGCAAGTTACAGCTCCCTCATTCCCTCTTCTCCCTTTATCATCAAGGCTAAATGCTGCCCTGGATTCTATGGTTACTCATTCCTAAACATGTTTTACCTTCAACTACATGAGAGCTCTGGTAGTGTAGCGGTTACTAATCAGGCTGCGAACCTTAAGGTCAGTGGTTCGAAACTACCAGCCATCATGGGAGAAAGATGAGGCTTTCTATTCCCGTAAAGATTGACACCCTTGGAAACCCTGTACAGGGTCGCTATGGGTCAGAACTGACTCGACGGCACTTAACAACAACAACATGAGAGAAAGATGAGGCTTTCTCCTCCCACAAAGATTTTTAAAGCCTTGGGAACCCTATAAGGGCCACAATGAGTTGGAATTGACTCCACTTAACAACACTTAACAACAACATAATTATGTATCTATAAAAATATAGGTGATATTGTTTTACATGTTTTCAAGTTTTGTATCAGTTTTCCTTAAAAGATCTACATCTCAGATGTTTTCTATTACTGGCTAAACTCAAATTCACTGTCCTCAAATCAATTTCGACTCATCACAACCCCATGGCAAACAGTGTTTCCAAGACTAAATTTTTACGGGAACAGAAAATTTCATCTTTCTCCCAAGAAACAGTTGATGGCTTTGAACCACCAGGTTTTCATTAGCAACGTAAAGGTAACAGAAAATGACCTTGCTTCCTTTCATAGACACAGTCTAGGAATGTGTCCTTAGAATAGAAATCAAGAATAAATCATTCTAGATCATAGGATATGTGGGCATTTAGTTTTGTTTTTAGTTTCTACAAAGAAACTACTTTTCAAATCCACTATTCCAAGCACATCATTCCTACTCATTACAATATTGCTTTAAGTAAAATGTTTTGTCTTAGTGTTAACATCTATTTGGAAACATGCATAGATCATAACTGTACATGTTGGTCTGGTTTGGGGTCATCTTTATGGAAGCTAATTGTTGCGTTGTTCTACTGTGGAGTGACTGTTGGGCTTGGAACCACTGACCTTTCAGTGAATAGCTGAGCGCTTAACCACTGTGCCACCAGCAATCCTTGCTGAGCCTGACCCTAACAATCAGTAGACAAGAAATCCTAGTATTCCTATACACATTGCACATTCCTTACCACATCACCCACAGTCCTCAGCATGAATGAGAGCTCAGTGTGGGCTCCTCATTCCCTTCCCTTTCTGTCCACCACAGGATCTCTGTCTGCGATGAGGACAAATTTGGCCATAACGAGTTTATCGGTGAGACCAGATTCTCACTCAAGAAACTGAAGCCCAATCAGAGGAAGAATTTCAATATCTGTCTGGAGCGGGTCATCCCAGTGAGTGCCTTTGTCCCAGGACTCGGGTGGGGAGGAGAGTTGGAGATACTGCCTTCCCCTTCATATTCAGGGGCCAGACATCCCAGGGTAAAGATTTCAGGTCAGAACATCCAAGGTTGCCTCCTGGCTCTGTCATTTGCCAGTCTGTACTAACATCATCTTTCCAAATGTCAGTGAGACTGGGAAGGGCAGTGTGGCTGACCTGGGTTTAGAATCTAGCGCATGGCCTTGGCCAAGGGAATGAATAACTCTGGGTCTCAGTGTTCTTGTCCGTAAATGACATCATTGCAGTACCTACCTCAGCAGAGGTTTGTGTGAAAATAAATACGTAAAGATCTGAACCTAGAGGGTAATAAGAATTCACGAATTGCTGTGTGTTGTTACCATAGAAATAGCCCTGCCTTGCCTACCTGATGTCAAGTCCAGAAGCACCATATAAATAAAGCAGATACTTCTCCCCTCACTAATCAACACAGCTTGGTTCCAAAGACCAGGTCATGATGGGAAAATTGGCATTCTCCAAAACTGGAGGAGGACCACATCAGATCACCAAATGCAAGATGACAACATCCTTACCTAACTGCCAAGTTACAGCATTACGTAACTTCCAAATTCTCTCATTACATAACTGCCAGCTTACGATTTATAGAACTGCCAAATTACATCATTATATAACAGCCAGATTACATTATTATGTAGCTGCCAAATGACACCGAGAATCGGGGCCCAGCCAAATTGGCACATAAGCTTAACCATCACATCCAACTTTACATTCATTCGCCTTGTTCATTACTGCCAGAGGTATGCCATTAATGCACAAACGAGTTGGATAGTTTTTCTTCCTACTGTCATAAATAAGAAACCTCAGAGAATGAGATAGTCAATGAGTGTGGAGTAGGTGTATAGCATGAGCTATGGAGCCAGACCATCTGGGTTTGAATCCTAACTCTGCCACTGAGGCAAATAACTAACGTCTCTGGGTCACATCTATAAATGGAGAGATAACAAAGTACCATCTCTACAGAGGAAGGTGTGGTGGGTCCATACGATAGACACTGGATTGTCAACCACAAGGTCTGTGGTTTGAGCCCACTAGTTCCCATGAAGATGCAAAGCCTATATAGGGTTGCTATGAGTCGGAACCAACTCAATGGCACTTAACAACAACAATGGCAAAGGGGCTCATAAGGACGAAGTATTACTATACATGTAAAGCATTAGAATGTTTGTTATGTTGTCATCATTGCTAGAGGTGGTCCTTGCCCTTTGAGAAAGAAAAGCAAGGACTAGATCGGGGTTCAGAATCACCCATGGATGCTAAGACCAGAGCTTTGCAAATTAAGACTTGTGGGGCTCTCTCTTGGAGATTCTGACTTAATGGAGTCATCATGTGAGGCCCCATAGGAGGTATTTTGGAGATGAGCCACCCTGTGCTTGATTGAAAAATGGGACAAATTCATCTCTGAATGGAAGGCAATGACTGTGGTAGAACCCAGTCCTTTTACAGTCCTCACCCCTGCCATGTCCTTGATCCTCTGGGCTGAGTGAGGGTCAGCTCCCCAAGGGAAGCCTTGGGGCCAACAGGGAGAATCCCACCACATCCTCCCACCAGATGTCTGCCTCCAGGATAGAATAACATTGTTTACATAGCGTAAGCGTGGAAACAAGATACAATATGGAAAACTGCAAGAAAACATTTATACCAAACATCAGGCTCCAAACAGATCATTAATAAAAATCCTGGTGTGAAGAGCTTCCTGTGGGGCTTGGCTGACTTTCCAAGCTACTGTTCCTTTCCACATTCAGTGAGCCAACTTGCTCAACAGAGACCCTGCCCAGGTCCTAGGTCTGCCCACTTTGGTGCAGTGGACACTGGCAGTATCCAAGCCACCATGGACTTGATCTTTTTCTGCCGCTCTTTCCCTCCGCCCTTCCATTGCCAGCTTCTCCCACTATGCTCACTGAGGACTGGGACATAGAAGTGCTGTCCCCTAGTCTCTGGACCTCAGTTTTCCTCTTCTGTAAAGTGGGCAGGTTGAATCTAGCCAGCAGTTTTCAAACTGTGTTCTCCAGATCTTGAGACTCCAAAAAGAAGACTTAATGAGTTTAGGGTAAGAAGGTTCTGTCACTTACTGACTGGGCAACCTTGAGCAAGTAACTTCACTACTCTGACTCTGACCCTCAATGTCCTTATCAGTAAAAGTAATAGAATTTATATCATAGATGGCTGTGCATTAACATAGTCTGTCATGTGGCTTAAAGGAACTCTGGTAGCGTAACGGTTATGAAATTGGGCTGTGAACCTCAAGGTCAGCAGTTTGACCTTGTTCCAGCTGTTCCACCAGAGAAAGATGAAGCTTTCTGCGCCCATAAAGATTTACAGCCTCAGAAACCCTATACAGGGTCACTATGAGTCAGAACAGACTCCTCTGCACACCAGCACCAATCCTGTGGCTTGTATTATATACATTTTAGCCAACAGGGGAAGAAAGATGGTCTCAGGAGCTTGGAAACCCCATCATCAGGATGCTGGATGCTAATGGAGAGGAGTGAGGGGCTTCTACTCCTTGTTTTCAGAAGTGAGCCATAGACAATGTTATTTTCTTTTGTTTCCTTGGAAGATGAAGCGTGCTGGGACCACCGGGTCAGCCCGAGGCATGGCCCTGTATGAGGAGGAGGTGAGCCCTGAGGGTGTTGAAGGCTACAGGTGGAGTTGTACCTGGTATGGTAGTTCCCTCCTCTCCCTCCCTGGCTCTCCCTCCACTTTCTCCCACAGCCACCTGCCCTTGGCCTCCAGGCTCTGGAACCCAAGACCAGTGTGAACTATACCCTGAATGAAGCCTCTTAAGTGGGGGAGTCCCCTGCTCTCACTCCTGAGACACCCCGTGTTCCTTGATCCTGTTGGCAAACCCTCCACAGACTATGCCACATGACTGGAGTGGTGGTGTCCCCAACCCCAAGGGGACGGGTAGGCTCTCACAGCTGTGTCTGGCCGGGTGTGTGCTTAAAGCAAACATCAGAACCCTCTGCCCAGGCCCCTCTTGGAACCCAAGGCACTGTGCTCAGGAGGAAACTGGTTGACACTTTGTCTTGGACTAGGGTCAAGGTTTATCAGTGAGGGTCAGTCAGTGACCAGCCTCAGGCTCAATTGTGTCCAAGTAGATAGGACTCAAGTGATGTCCTGCATGCCGCACATTGTCCAGTGTCCTAACCTCCATTTGGTCCTCCCTGAAGAAGGGGGTCACTGCTGCTGTCCATGTTGCTGACCCACTTTAATAGGCTGGCATCTACCACCCTAGCCAACCTCTTCCCAATGCTTGCCATCCATGATCCACAGTCCCTTCCCCTCCCTTCCTAAGCCAACACACCGTCTTCCTCTCATAGCAGGTGGAACGTATTGGTGATATAGAGGAACGTGGCAAGATCCTGGTGTCCCTCATGTACAGCACCCAGCAGGGAGGCCTCATTGTGGGCATCATACGCTGCGTCCACCTAGCCGCCATGGATGCCAATGGCTACTCAGACCCATTCGTCAAACTGTGAGTCAGTGTCTTGGGGCCATGAGTGGTCCCTAGTGGGGGTCTCAGATCCTTGGAAAGGGAGAACCAGAGAGCTTCCCCAAGATCACTGTCCACTTAGGCCCAGAGAGGGGAAGGAATGTGCCCAGTGTCACACAGGGAGAGAGATCCAGAACTGGCTAGAGTCTCAGGCAATCAGATTGGTGTATGTTACTGGCCCATATGAGAAGCTTTGTGGCTCTGTCCGCTCCAGTGGTGGAGGGTGGTCAGCAGGGTTGTGATGCCCCAGTTATGTTCCCAGGAGTCATCTGCTCATCCCTCCATCAACTTGGAACCCTACCACCAGAAAAGCAATCTGGCTTTTCCCAGATTCAGTCTGGAAATGTTCAATAAGAAAAACCCTTAGATTGTGGGGTAATTCCATTCATCTCATCATGGGGAATAAAATCGACTTGGTTCTTTGTCTTAGCCTGTATCATCTGAGGACAAAATATCCAAGGATTTTATTGGGGGAGATGCCTTTGCCAGGGACAATAGGGAGCAGGTCAAGGGAGACTGGGAGAGCTGTTGAGTCTTCGCATTATGCATATGACCCAAGAGAAGGGAAGCTGGATGGAAGCATCTTAGGTATAAGCAGGAAATACTCAACACAAAATTGGTCATCAAAAAAAGCCCTGTATCTCTAAAAGGCCTCTTTTGGCATCTCTGCCATGCTCAGCCATTTACCAGGAACATGAAATACTGCATGTATGTCAAAACGTAGTCCCTAGAACACTGGACTTGGAAGTCTTGAGGTCCACTCTCTCATGGTCACCATTGTATCAACCCAGGATTCAGCTCTCATCTCTGCTAGCTGTGTGAACACAGCAAGTTACTTAGCCTTTCTGAACCTCAGTTTCTTCATTGTAAAAAGAGAAACAATACAGGTAGTTTAACTTATCTCTGAGAGTAAGTGTAAAGTTCAGATGATATATCACATGTGGAACAATTGCAGTGGTGCCTAGGATAGAACTTGATCTACTCTCCATAAAATTCTTACTTTCCTTTGGATAGCAAATGTCTCACCATGTGTCATATTACAGCTGTGCTCCACAGGGTTCTCAATGACTGTTTTTATTGTTGTTGTTGTTTTGAAGTAGATCACCAAGCTTTTCTTCTTGGGTATCTCTGGGTGGACTAAAATTCCCAACCTTTTACTTAGCACAACCTAGGGATGGTCTCTTAATATTTTCTAGCTGTGCTACCTTGAGCTCTCAGATTGACTTCTCTGGGTCTCAATATCCTCATCTATAAAATGTTGTTGCTGCTGTTAGGTGCCATCAAGTTGGTTTCGACTCATAGTGACCCTATGCACAGAAGAATGAAACACTGCTCGGTCCCCTGCCATCCTCACAATTATTGGTATGCTTGGTCCCATAGCTTCTGCCACTTTTCCAGTCCATCTCCTTGGGGATCTTTCTCTTTTTTGCTGACCCTCCACTTTACCAAGCATGATGTCTTTCTCCAGGGACTGGTCCCTCCTGATAACATGCCTGAAGTATGAGACATGAAATCTTTACATACTGACTTGTAAGGAGCACTCTAATGATATTTGTTGCAACACAGATTTGTTTGTTCTTCTGGAAGTCCATGGTACACATTTAAATTTCTTCTCCTACTTCACAATTCAAATGCATTGATACTTCTATGGTCTTTATTCATTGCCCAACTTTCGCATGAATATGAGGCTATTGAAAATACGATGACTTGAGTCAGGCACACCTTAGACCTCAAACTGACGTCTTTGCTCTTGAATACTTTAAAGAGGTCTTGTGAAGCAGATTTCCCTAATGCAATACATCATTTGATTTCTTGACTGCTGCTTCCATGAGGGTTGATTGTGGATCCAAGCAAAATGAAGTCTTTGAAAACTTCAATCTTTTCTCCATTTATCATGATGTCATTGATTGGGTCAATGGTGAGGATTTTGTTTTCTTTACTTTGAGGTGCAATCAATATTGCAGTCTTTGATCTTCATCAGTAAGTATTTTAAGTCCTCGACACTTCTGGCAAACATACGACAAGTTATTTGTCAGTCTTCCTCCAATCCTGATGCAATGTTCTTCTTCAGATAATCCAGATTTTCAAATTATTTGCTCAGCATGCAGATTGAATAAATATAGTAAAAGAATACACCAACACACACTTTATTGATTTTATGCAATCCAGCATACCCTTGTTCTGTTCAAACAACTGCTTCTTGGGCAATGTATAGGTTTCTCATGAGCACAATTAAATGTTCTGGAATACCCATTCTTTCCTGTGCTGTTAACAGCTTGTCATGATCCACACAGTCAAAAGCCTTTGCATAGTCAATAAAGCACAAGTAAGCATCTTTCTGGTATCCTGTTTTCAGCAAGACCCATCTAACATTCCACATCCTCTTCTGAATCCCACTTGAATTTCTGGCAGCTCCCTGTCAATGTCTGCTGCAGCCATTTAAAAATTATCATCAACAAAATTTTACTTGCATGTGATACTAATATTGTTCAATTGCTTCTACATTCAATGGGGTCACCTCTCTTTGGAATGAGCACAAATGTGGATCTCTTCCAATCAGTTGGCCAGGGAGCTCTCTTCCAAATTTCTTGGCATAGATGAGTGAACACCTTCAGTGCCTCATCAGTTTATTAAAAGATTTCAATTTGCATTCCATCATTTCTTGAAGTCTTGTTTTTCACTAATGCCTTCAGTGCAGCTTGGCCTCCTTCCATCAGTACCATGATCCTATGCTACCTTTGAAAGGGTTGAATAGCTACCATTTCTTTTTGGTACAGTGACTGTGTGTTCGTTCCATCTTCTTTGGGTGCAAAACAGCATTATTCAATATTTTGCCCATAGAATCTTTCAGTATTTCAAATTGAGGCTTGAATTTTTCTTCAGTTCTGTCAGCTTGAGAAATGCTGAGTATGTTCTTCCCTTTTGGTTTTCTAGCTCCAGGTCTTTGCTATAATTTCATTATAATACTTGACCTTGTCTTTTTGAGCTGCCCTTTGAAATTGTCTGTCCAGCAGTTTGACTTCCTCATTTTTTCCATTCGCTTTAGCATCTCTATACTGGAGAGCAAGTTTCAGAGTAAAATGGAGAGAATAAAATTGGGCATTAGTTTGAGTCCTCTAAAAAGCAGATGACAAAACAGGATGAGGTGTACAAGAGTTTTCTTGAGGGAAACATCCGTGAGGGAAGCTCTGAGACAGCCAGAGAAGGCTGGTGAAGCCCACAGACTGATACAGGTCTGACCCCCATGAAGTGATATAGAAAAGGGAAGGTCTGAGAGGAAGAATCTTAGATGGTGCTGCAGTCCTAAGGAAGTTTCATCTAGGGCAACATGGAATCCTGGAGTACAAAGTCATCCACTAAAGTCATCCATGTCCCAGGCATGGGCCTGCTTCAGTATCCCTGCCGTCTTATTCAATGCCCATGGGAAACATGACCCTGGCTTGAGGGTGAGTTCAGAGCCCACCAGCTCAGTCAATTTCACTTCCTGCCCCTTGACACCTGACAGGGGCATTTTCATAGTGTTGGGTACATAGCAAGTACCCAATAAATGCTTGCCATTGTGCTTACCAATAATTTTGTTGTTGTTGTTAAATGCCGTTGAGTTGGTTCCAACTCATAGTGACCCTGAATTTCTGAAGAGTGGCTAGTGAATTTGAACCGCCAACTTTGCGGTCCAGTGCATTATCTCAGTCATGACAAAGCACACTTTTTAGTGTTCCCTCCAATCTGGGAGACACCCCACTCTCAACACAGCCTCTAGTAACAGAAAACAATACTTCCCCCAAGCCCTTGGCTGAAAAACCAACTTTCCCAGAAGGTGATTTAGTTAACAAAAGACACAGGAGTCATGGGGGAATTTGATTCCCAAGAGCCATTTGGGTTTCTCATGGGGCCCAAGAAAATTTGCTCATGGGATGCCATCTTGCATGCCATTAAATCCCAGCTCTGTGCATATCAGGTTGCTTAAGTAGCTTTTCCCATCATCCCTCTCTCATCCAGCATCTTCCCAGGACTCGCTGTGGGGTAAATCAATCTGTGAAGTGAGTCTCCAGATGCTTCCAGTGGGAGGAAGTGGTGGCTGAACTGGGTTCAGATTCCAGAGCCACCAGTTTCCAGCTGTGTGACCTGAAGCACATGTCTCAACCTCTCTGGACCCTCAGTTTCCTTATATGTAAAATGGGGTGACCCTAGTTCAAGCACCTTTATGTGAGGGTTACATACACCCACAGTAAATATTGGACAGTTCTCAATGTTGACTCGCTTTATGGCTTGTTCATCAGAACACTGGGAGGAGGCTTTAGGGTCTTCAAAAGGCTTTTTTGATTCATTAAATTTCATCCAAACAGTGTCTTTTGTCTCCTCTTAGCTGGCTGAAACCAGACATGGGAAAGAAGGCTAAACACAAGACTCAAATTAAGAAGAAAACCTTGAACCCTGAATTTAATGAGGTAAGGCTGCCCCATTCTCTGTTTTGGTCCTGGGATAGTGCCCACATGTCAGGAAGACAGAAGCTCCCTGCTAGAATGTTCTTTATCACACTGTTGTGTGCCACAGAGTCAGTTCCAACTCATAGTGACCCTGTATAGGGTTTCTGATGCTATAAATCTTTACGGAAGCAGAAAGCCTCCTCTTTTTCTTTAAGACCTGCTGGTGAATTAAAAATTCTCACCCTGTGGTTAGCAGCCCAACACATAACCCACTCTACCACCACCAGGCCTCCTTTTTAATCACATTGTTGTTGTTCAGTGCCATCAACTTGGTTCTAACTCATAGCAACCCTATGTAGGGTTTCCAAGGAGCAACTGGTGGGTTTGAACCACCAAACTTATGGTTAGCATTTCAGTGCTGATCCTACATTGTTGTTTTTGTTGTTGTTAAGTGCCGTCAACCCTACATAGCAACCCTACCTAGGGTTCTGTTCCAACTCATAGCAACCCTACATAGGGTTCCCAAAGAGCAACTGGTGAGTTTGAACTGCTGACCTTGTGGTTCAAACAGACCCGGTCGTCTAGTGCTTCATCCTACAGTGCCACATCAGGACTCCTCTATTGGTGGTGGTGGTGGTTATGTGCCATGGAGTCAGTTCTGATGCATAGCAACCCTGTATAGGGTTTCCAAGACCGCAAATCTTTATGGGAGCAGAAAGCCTCATCATTCTTCTGTGAGATGGCTGGCAGTTTTGAACTACTGACCTTGAGATTAACATCCTGACTCATAACCACTACACTACCAGAGCTCCCCTATGTTAGGGGAAGAAAAACTTCACTCATAGATCAGTCTGGTTTATCTACAGAAGTGATAAGTTTCTTCTCATTGAAGGCAGTCAAGCCTAAACTAATCCACAGGTTAGGGATGCCATAGGGAGAAAGCTGAGTTTGGAGAAAGATTGAATTTAATCATCTGAAAGGTCTTTGTCAAGTCAACTTGGGCTTTGGAGAGAAATTTAATTTAACCATCTTCAAGGTCTTTATTAATCTACTTTGGTCTTTACTGATTCCAAGAAATAGGGGCAGCATTGGCCTGAACTGTCCATCCAGCTGGTGCTGCCCTCGCCCTCTCCTTCATGCCCCACGTCCACCTAGCGCCTCAAGTCCTGCTGCGTACACTCCTTGCTCTGTGTTCTCACGATCACTGTCCTGATTCAGCCCCTAACAGTTTATGCTTGGACCATTGCCATAGACACCTGATTTGCTTCGCTGTTTTGTCATCCTCCATGTAATTTGTGAGTTTTCTAAAATATAAATCTGAATTTGTCACCCTTTTGCTAAATAAACCAACAATGGCTCCCTAACTCCATAACCTGACATCTGAGCCCTCCCCTACCTCCCTAGTCTCAGACCATTCTCTTCTCAGCTTTTGCTGGTTTCTTATCCTGAACTTCCCTCCTTCTCTCTGACAAACTCCTAGTCATCTCTCAGGCCTGAACTAAAGTGTCACCTCCTACATATATCCCTCATGTATTCTTTGTGCTTCTCTTCATCTTGTGCTGTCCCTCTGAGCTTCAATCACCTGTTGGTAAGCCTGTCAGAGAATGAGGACCCTTAAATATCTGTGGAATAAAAGGGGAAAGAGTAGAAAATACACGGGTTCCAATCAAAACCACCACCACTCATCTGTCAGTTTTCCATACTATGGTGGCTTGCATGTTGCTGTGATGCTGGAAGCAATGCTATCAGCATCTCAAGTCCCAATAGGGTCACCCATGGTAGATAGGTTTCAGCAGAGCTTCCAGACTAAGACAGACTAGGAAGAAAAGTCTGGCAATCCAGTGTACTTCTTAAAATCAGCCAAGGGAAACCTTATGGATGAAAACCTTATGGATTACAACAAAACACTGTCAGATGCACTGATACAATGTTGAAGATGACACAAAACAAAAAATTGAAGCAGCATTTCATTCCACTGGGGCTGATTTGACAGCAATTCACAACAATACTAGAATTCACACACATAGGCAGAACCCAGAGAAAATCATTCCACCAGTTCATTGGGCCCTTGTGGCTCCCAAAGTCTCTTTGGCCTGGTCCCCTGGCCTCTCTCTGCCCATGAATTTTAAGTAAAGACCCAATTCCTGCTGCCCTGCCCTGCCTTCTCCTGGAGTTTAAACAAGTCACAAAATAAAAGAAAGCTAAATGGCCTATACATACCACAGTGGTAACTCATCAGAAACAGAGAAAATCCAGACCAGACCCCATGTTGCATCACAAACTGCCACAAAAGTATTTGTAAACATTGGTCCCCAGTGCAGATAAGCATATGGGGGCATGCATGCACTGATGATAAAGCAAAGTGCAGTGACAGAACGCTCGTCAAAACGCTCGAAAAACCTTATTGTCTTTTCATTGCAGTTTTATTTATTTTTGGAAGAGGCAGTCACATATTTTCAAAATTCAAAAATACTAGCAGGTAGGATAGGGTCACTCTGAGTCGGTACCAACTTGATGGCACCTAAATACAAGAAGCCAGGAAAGAATCCCTGTCTTGCCACTTGAGTTGCCACTCACCTATATTCTCCCATACATTAAGCAAATATGGAGTCCCTAGGTGGTACAATAAACAGCATTCTTATCAACAGAGAAAAGATTGAAGTCGTCAAGGACTTCATTCTTCTTGGATCAACTATCAACACTCAAGGAAGCAGCAGTCAAGAAATCAAACGATGTAATTCATTAGTCAAATCTGTTGCACAAGACCTTTTTAAAGTGTTGAAGAGCAAAGATGTCAGCTTGAGGACTAAGGTGCACCTGACCCAAGCCATGGTATTTTCAATAACCTGATATGCATGTGAAAGCTGGACAGTGAATAAGGAAGACCGTACAAGAATTGATGCTTTTGAGTTATGGTGTTGGAGGAGAACATTGAAAGTGCCATGGGCTGCCAAAAGAACACACAGATCTGTGTTGAAAGAAGTGCACCCAGAGTGCTCCTTAGAGGCCAAGATGGCCAAACTTCGTCTCTCATACTTCGGACATATTGTCAGGAGGGACCAGTCGCTAGAGAAGGATATCATGTTTGGTAAGGTGGAGGGTCAGAGAAAAAGAGGAAGACCCCCAACAAGATAGATTGGCCAAGTGGCAGCATTAATGGACTCAAGTGTGGCAACAATTGTAAGATTGGCCCAGGATCGGGCAGTGTTTCATTCTGTTGTGCATAGGATCACTATGAGTCTGTTCCAACTCGATGGCACATAACAACAACAATGTGGTGCAACTAGTTAGTGCACTCAGCTGCTCAACACAAGGTTGGAAGTTCTAGTCCACCCAGAAGCACCTCAGAAGAAAGGCCTGGCAATCTATTTCCCCAAAAATCAGCCATTGGAAACTATGAAGCACAGCTATGAAGCACAGTCTTACTCTGACACACACAGGATCGCTCTGTGTTAGCATCAATGCCATAAAGCAACTGATTGAAGAAAAATATGTACAATGAGTTTGTTTTTGTTTTTGTACAATAAACCCACTGTTCTCCATCTTAACATTTTACCAACTCAGTAATTCACTTCTTGTGTTTATATAAATCAATCATCACAGATGTGCACAATGACTTCACCTTAAGGATGCCTTTAGCAGTACCATTACCATAGTGGAAAATTGGAGACAACCTATAGATCCAGTAGTCAGGGGCTAAGTAGTCAGGGACTACAGTGACACCACCATTAAATCTGACCACTACAATGTAGCGAGCATGGTGGCTCTGTAAGACAGCCTCAGGACTTCAAACCACAAGGTCAGCAGGTTGAGCCCACCAGTTGCTCCGAGGGAGAAAGACTTTCTGCTCCCATAAAGATACAGCCTCAGAAACCCTACACAGGAGTGCTATGAGTCAAGCACTGAAACCAACTCAACAGCACTTAACAATACTACAATGCAGAAAAATATTTCTTACATAACAAGTTGGTTTTTAGCATCTGTTATAAAGTGGAAGAAGGAAGCTACAGCACTCACTGTATGCTGAGTGTTATTTCGTATGAAAAAACATACATCTCTACAGGTCTTGAAAGGTCATGGTTCTGAAAGGGTGCAGCTTTGAACACCTCATGGAATGCTGTTCTGTTCTGCACTTTGGGGGCTGCCATAAGCTAGAGTCAAGTCGACTGTAAGTCACAATGACAACACAACAACATATGCACACACATGGCATGTTGAGTTACAAAGGTCCTCGTGTGTCTTCACAGTAAGCATGTCATTAAGAAGAAATACTATTCTCTGATAAATCAGATTGTCTGGGCACATAAGTGCTGATCCTGGTAGCAGTCTCAGACCAGGCCTCTCTTCTCTTCTGATCCATGGAGAGAGGGGGGAACCCACTCAGAAGCTTCCAGGAGAGAAGGACTGAGTTCCTGGTCATCTGCCTTCAAGGGACATGATTAGAACCAGCTCGATTACACAAACGTCTTCCTGCTGTGCTCAGCTCCATACAGAGAGTCCATTGAAAAGAGAATTCGCCGGTTTGAGAGACTTTGTTTTACAGAGTGCTTGTTGAAAGGGAATTGCCAAGCCTGGAGTAGAGACTCTCATCAGAGTGGAAAGCCAACTTGTGCCCGCACTATCCAGCTCAAGGGGCTCCTCTGACCTCCTGGGACTCGTTCTCTTAGCTCAGGGCTTCTCTCACTTGTGTGTCTCCCTTTGTGGCTTACAGGAGTTTTTCTATGACATCAAACATAGTGATCTGGCCAAGAAGTCACTGGACATCTCGGTCTGGGACTATGATATCGGCAAGTCCAACGATTACATTGGTGAGTGCCCCCAACTCCAGCACTCTGTGAGCTCCCCAGGAGACATGGAGAACCTGACCAGTGCTGACCAGAGCTCCAGCCACCCTTCTTCCCTGTCAGTAACCATATCATCCACATGCCAAGTGAGACCCAGGATCAAGTGTTTGGTCCCATTGGGAATGCCTTCCTAGGAAAGGGCTTACCGAGCTAGTCATGGTGCTGCCTACTAAACAAATCACATCCAGTGCAATGCAGGCATACCTGGCTTTATTGTGCTTCACTTTACTATGACTGCGTTTTGTATCAATGGACGTCTAAGGCAACCCTGTGACAAGCATGTCCCTGGGTACCATTTCCCCAACAGCACGTGCTCACTTCGTGTCTCTCTGTCCTATTTTGGACATTGTCTAAATAGCAGTTTTCATCATGCTAGTGTAAACATAATGTTTACATACTCGGGGAAACCAACAAAATCATGTGACTTGCGATACTCACCTTATTGGGAACTGAATCTGCAAGGTCTCCCAGGTCTGCCTGTAATGAAATCCCAGACCAGTAAGAAGAAGGGTGATGGGAAATGTCCTTAAACAATTGGCAAGTCCAGGGTGGAAGTTTTCATTTCCTCACTCCTCCAAACCATGAGGAAGAAAACAAGAGGAAAAGGAGCAGAGTGGGAGTTCCAGGCGGGGTACCCAGCCACAGGATTGAGCTAGACAATGACGCTGACTCTGCAAACAGCTGACGAGAATGCAGAGATGTGAGAGTTCATTTCAGTGAGTGGGGTAGTGACCGGTGGTGGTAGTGTTTGTGCTTGTCAAGTTGACACCAACTTATAACAACTCCACATGTAACCAAATAGCACATCAGCTGGTCCTTGGTCATCTTCATGATCATTGGTCTATTTAAAGTCCAGTGTTGTAGCTATTGGATCAACCCATTGCATTGAGAGTTTTGTTTGGTTGTGTGCATGCCATCAGGTCAATTTTGGCTCATAGCAGCCCATGTATCAGAGTAGAGTTGCCCCCAGTGGGTTTCCTAGGTTGCAATCTTACAGAAGCAGATCACCAGGTCTTTCTCCCATGGAGCCACTGGATGGGCTCAAACCTCCAGCCTTTCCGTTAGCAGTTGAGCGCCTAACTGGTACAGCAGCAATGCTTTTCAATTGGCTGTTGTTATTAGGTGGCCTGGCTTGATTGGTAGAGGCCTTTTACAAACAGGCAGTGGCGCTGTGAATTGATACTATAGCAGTAAACATCACATGTTCTTGAATAGATGACCTCCAGCCAGAGAAGGTCAACAGTAATAATCATAATCATTATGACCCTCTCTTGGGAGTCATTTCTACATCTTTTCTATACTATCTGTATGCCTGCTGCCCAAGTCACTGAGCAGGTCACTGTTTGGTGGCAGTTTCCCCAGGAAGATACTTGGGTCCAGGATGCGAGTCCACGCATCCCACAACTGTAACCATGCCTCTCTCTTTCTGTTTTCTTCAGGAGGCTGCCAGCTGGGGATCTCGGCCAAAGGGGAACGCTTGAAACACTGGTACGAGTGTCTGAAAAACAAGGACAAGAAAATCGAGCGGTGGCATCAACTGCAGAATGAGAACCACGTGTCGAGCGATTAAGGTGGTGCTGGGGACCCCCCCTTCAGCCTGCCCCAGCTTCCTACTGTGCACTGGTCTCTCATCCCAGTGCCAGCCTCCCCCATGCCTCCTCCACCCTCCTGGAGCCTGCATTGGAGGTCTCCCCTTGGCACTTCTGCCAAAGACCATCTCCTTGCCCTGATCTGAAATGCAGGCTCTGTGATGTCCCTCATTCTTGTAGGATGGCGCAGTGAGGATGGGAGACCTCCACGTGGAGTATGTTCATTTAACAACTGCTCAGTTAGGCTATATTGCAAAGGTTCTTTGGGACTGCTCAGACGCTCCTGGCCTTGAACATACACACCTCCCCTTTAGTTTCCTGTGTGGTGTTTGTATGTCCCCTCAGTTCTGAGTACATGTGATGAGGCTGTAAGAATGGGCTCTGGGGCAGAAACAAAACATCCCATTGCTCCTCCAACACCCCTAAATGTTGTTGTTAAGTCAATTCTGGTTCATGGCACCCACACGTATGTCAGAGTAGAGTTATGCTCCTCAGGGTTTTCCATGACTGATTTTTTTTTGGAACTAGATTGCCAGACCTTTCTTCTGAGGTATCCAATTCTAGATGGACTCAAACCTTTGACTTTTGGTGAATAGCTGAACGGGTTAACTATTTGCACCACCCAGTAACTCCATTCTCCAAAAACACATGCCACCAACTTCCAGAAAAACAAAACAAAACACAAAACCACAGTGTTTACACTGCCCTTGTTCCAGACCCATCTCAAAGGGACGCAGAATACGCAAAAGATACCCTCTCATTTTGTAGGTCAACTGTTTGCTTCCTAGCAAAAAAACATACAGAGAGAGAGAGAGAGAGAGAGAGAGATAATTTGTTCTCTCTCACCTTCCACCTTCTCTCTTTTCTTCTTATCCGTTCCCTTTCCCTTCCTTACTTTCTTCCCGTCTTCTCTTCCCTTGTCCCCACCTCTTGGTCCCACTTCCTTTTTCCCTCTCTAAGACAAGATACAAGCAAACAATAAAACAGTCTATCTTAACACAGCCTCATCCCCTCGCTGCTGCCCCTCAGAAGCCTGACCACAAACTCTGAGAAACTGGCAGAAACCCAAAGCCCCCCTCAAGCTGTGCTTCTTCAAAACCACCCACTTCTCCTGGGGCAGAACCTGATCCTTTTGGGCCCTGGGCTGGCTGCTGGCACGTCACAGTTGCATGGCAGCCCCCACCCCATAGAGAAGCATACTCAGCCTTGGCCTCCCCAGGTAAGCACTGGAGGCATGTAGAAGACTCCAGAGCTATGGGCCCAAGGGGGCTTCCCCAAAGCCCCATCCTTCCTGCTTCCTCTGCTCTTAGTTATATGAAAACGCATTCATTCCTTCTGCTCTTTCTGACTGGTACCTATGTCTTACTGGGAGTCACCCTGTCTTTTTCTGTGTCTACCTGTTTTTGACACTCTCTTTACCAGGTTTGTTAGGAGAATCAAACACCATCGTGGATATAAAACTTTAGAAAATAGTAGATCTTGACACCAAAGGCATTTTTCCCCATCATGAATCATTCCATCTTTCTTCCTCAAAAAAAGGAGGAAACAGCAATGAGGACCCATATTAGATATTTGAGGATTGTGAGAAAGAAAGAATTGGTTTTCCCAAGGTCTATCAAGTCTTCCTCCCTGAAAACTATCCTACTATGTACAAGCCCCCACCATTCTCCACCAGAGACATCAGACATATATTCAAACTCTTGTTTCTGTCAATCTCATATGGTGTAGCCTCCCTTTCAGGGCCCCTTAGCCCCCCTCCCTGCATACTTCACTAGAAAACACTAATCTCTTGCCTTGAATAACCATTTTTCTATATATACCTAGCTCTTCCCCAAGGTGGCCAACAGCCTCCCGGCCGCCATATTTCCTCTGGATGCTTTCTTTTTCCAGGAGGCCCTCTTATTTCCTTAGCCTCTGACACCTCTATTCCATGGTTTTCCACTAGGAGAAAGCATGCTGGCTGCGTTGCCCAAGCCTGATGCAGTGTTGGCACTAGAATGAGCATGCAGCTAGCTCTTCCGACCAATGTAACCACCTCCCTACCTAGAATACACATCCCCTCTAGTGCATGCAGAACTGGCTACCACCACCTTTCTTTGTGATGATGTACCACAAATAAAGTAGGAATATCCCGGACAACTGGAGGTCTGTGCTTTTCCTTTCTGGTTTCTGGTCTTTCTCCCCACCAGGATACACATCTACTCCAATGTTCAGCGTTTCATGAGCATCTGGCCCAAAGTACTTAAGCAATTTGTCAGAAATGTTAGGTACTTCCCAGAAGGAATACAATTTACATACCAAGGTAAGTTTTCTTCCAGGTCAAGTTGGAGACACTGTGCTTTTCTCATGCCCCAAAGCATGTTTTTCAATATTGGAAGCAGAAGACGAACATATTAAAACCACCAGGAGAGATTTTTTCAAACTACCCAGATTTACCTATGCCCTGGAAACAAGTTGTACATTTAAAGATATTTGGAAGTACTTCCTTTTGGATGCCTTGTATCCCACCCTTTTCATAACTTTGAAAAGCACATGTTGATGTCGCTTTGATGACTCAGGTGCACCTGACCCATGTCATGACCTTTTAAAATCACCTCATATGCATATGCATGGAAAAGTTGGGCAATGACGAAGGAAGACAGAAGAATTGATGCATTAGAATGGCAGAGTTGGTGAAGATTATTAAAGAACAAGTCAATCTTAGAAGAAACACAACCAGAGTATTCCTTAACAGCTAGGGTGGTGAGACTTTTTCTTATTTATTTTGGACACATCATCAGGAAAAGACAATCACTACTAGAGGACATGATGGTTGGTAGAGGGTCAGTATAAAAGAGGAAAACCATCCAAGAGATGGACTGACACAGCAGTGGACTCAAACATACCAACACTCATGAAGATGCCACAGGACCTGGCAAAGTCTCACTCATTCTGTTAGCCTTAAAGTCACTGTAAGTTAGAGTGGACTTGATGGAGAATAACAACAAAAATTGATCAAGTTGGTCCATTTTTCTCTACAATTTAGCCAGCTGCCACCATGTGTACAGAAGTGTTCATTAGAGCCAGTTCATTAATTACAGGCCTCATAAGAATGGAAGACACACGTTGTCACTCTCTTCCTGTGTTCATGACAGACATCACTAATATTTCCCTGTGCTCACAACAGACATCACTAGTCAATACAGTATCTTTCCCACAGAGCCTAGAAGTGGTCTCTGAATCCTCAATGCAGTGTTCCAGTCATGGATGGCAGTTGAAACCTAATTTCCATCCTTAAAGATTGATCTCTTTCCCCAAGCTTGGGAGACAAGCCTAGAAGGCTGGTTTATTCATAGCCATAGGAAAAGTATAGCTAAGTATTGGTGCACCTAACCTGGCATATTAAACCTTTTTCCCCCATTGAGATGAAATGAAACACTTTGCAAGCGGCAACGTGGTATGGGAGAAAACATCTGCCTAGAAGATCTCACCAGCGTTTGAACCAATTCAGTTCAGTGTTCAAATCCAGACACTGCCACATTCTAGCTGTGGAAACGTAGACAACATAGCCTCTCAGAATGCCTGTGTCCTTGTCTAATAAGTGAGATCAGTAGTCACTGCCTCATAGAGGAACCAAGAGTGTAAAATGAGATAATACAAGGAAAGTTCCTAATATTTTTTTTTAAACTTGCCATTCAATTGATTCCAATGCAGGTGACACCATGTGTGTCAGAGTAGAACTATACTCCACAGGGTTTTCAGTGGCTAGTTTTTCAGATGTAGATTGCCAGACCTTTCTTTCTAGGGACCACTAGGTAGATTTGAATGTCACTTTTTTATTTAGTAGCTATTTGGACTTTTCTGATACCAGCTGTTGTTGGTAAGTGCTGTCAAGTCAGTTCTAACTCATAGCAATCCTGTATAGGGTTTCCAAGGAGTGACTGGTGGGTTCAAACCGCTGACATTTCAGTTAACAGTCCAATGCTCATCCTACAGCACCATACCAGGATTCCCTGACACTTACTTGTTAAATGCTCTCAAGTCGATTCCAAATCATAACAGCCTTGTATAGGGTTTCCAAGGAACAGCTGGTAAGTTTGATCTGGTGAGTTTGATCTGCTGACTTTGCAGTTGACACCAACCTTGCCCTCCAGTGCTTTTCCTATAGCACCACACCAGTGCTCCTGATACCTACTATGGGCTCAATAAATTCCATCTCAAGTTGCTGGCCCCTCCAACCGGTTTCCTCACAGGTAAAAAAAGGCCTTTGAGCTGGTGTTGATGATAAACAAGGCTGAAAGCCAGAGAGGGCCAAATGTGACAGAAAACAGGTGTTTGAAGTCTCTGTGCAGATGTGAGCAGAGTCTCTAGCTGGTGCCAATAGAAACACAACCAAGAGCTAAAGACATCTATCTAGCTGAGCAGGAGTTAAAGGGGAGACTAAATGCAGAGGTTTGGCCGTCCCTTGGGGCTGACAAAGATGAGGCCAGGGAAAAGGGGGAGGCCAGGGACTGCTCATTCTTGATGAAAGCAAAACAGACTCAGCTATGGCTGGGCATAAAGCCAATGGTGTTAAACAGTGTCCTGAAAACCACCTGGGTTGACCCCACCTCCGTTTAATCAAATTTGTCAGGGAATTGGCCTAATAAGACTAAATAATACATCAGAACACATAAAAATCACAAAGAGCAATCTCCATGGTATGTTGCTGTTGTTAAGTGACTTCGAGTCAGTTCCAATTCATAGCCACCCTGTATAGCAGGAGTGGGGAAACCTAATATAAATTTATATTGTTATGAATAAAGCTCCTAGATTTATTGATTTCGAATCCTGTCTGTAGTTGCTTTGGCATGATTTTGTGGGCTTATACAGCCTAGGGCCAGATATTCTTCACCCCTCCTATATACGGTTTCTAAGGAGCAGATGGTGGGTTTGAACCACTGGCCTCGCAGTCCAGTGTTTATCTTACAGTGCCACACAATGACTCTTCTCTGTGGTATAAAATGCATGTTTTGCTTGTTTCTATGACCTTGAGTCCTGGTGTGGCACTGGACTGCAAAGTCGGGTTGAACCACAAGGTTGGCAGTTAAAGCTCACCAGCTGCTGCTTGGAAACCCTATAGAGGGCTGCTATGGGTTGGAACTGACTCAACAGCACTTAACAACAATAATGTGACCTTGAACAAATTTGTGACCTTGAGCAAGTCACTTCCCCCCTCAGTGCCTAGATTTACCGCTAGTAAAAGGAGGTCTTATGCTTGCACATCATGATTCTTACCTTTGACTAGCAAGAGAAATCTTGGTCTACTCCACCAAACCAGTTGTCCTTGAGTTAACACCAACTCACGGGGAGCCCATGTGTGTCAGAGTAGAACTGTGCTTCACATAGTTTTCAATGGCCAACTATTTGGAAATAGATCTCCAAGCCTTTCTCCCTAGGCACCTCTGGGTAAATTCAAACCTCCAGAGATATGTAACTGTGACCTTTTTGCCGAGAACCAGCTACTTGGCTGGATGGCCCTACAATACCTTTGCTGTCTGACATACACAAGAATGCATCAGCTATAATATCCTGCTTCTGTTTCTTTCAAGAGAACAAGAACTTATAGCCACCTACAAAGGCATGAAGCCATAGTCCTAGATTTTTACAATTATTTCCTCAATATTGTATTGAGGTAAGAACATTATCTCAACTCTTATCTAACTCTAAGCATTGTTTTAAACAGTTTGCCGATTTTGCATCTTTCCAAAGAATTCAACGTCAGTTTTCTAAGACAATATGTCTTTTGTACTCATGTTTCTTTGGTGTATAAAAATGTAATCCAAAGAATGCATTTCACCGACTGATTACTACAAGAACAAGCAAGTTGCTCCCCCAGGAAATATCAAGGCAAGTGGTCGGGTCCCCTCAGAGCAAACCCCCTTCCAAGACTAAGATTCAATGGGAATACACGCTCTGATTGGTGACCACGCTCATCACTGAAAAGGGGAAGTGCGGGAAAAACAGCAATGAAGATGTGAGCTAAGCCCTACAACTTTCAATAGACTCCTATGAATCCTAGTGAAGACCTGGTTGGCCAGCAGTGTGGCAAGACCTGGGGACTCTTGGGCCCAGAGTCAGTGACATAGCCACAGAGGACTAGAGTGGAGAGTGAAGCATCCAGCTGATAAGAAGAGAGGGCATATGCACAAGAACACCCACACTTGCAGATAATACCCACTTGACCTGGCTTCAATGACTGCATGATCAGAGCTCAACTAGAAGACGAAAGAAGAGGAAAAAAAAAAAGTATTCTCATACAATTTGATGAACTTGACCTACATCTATGGATGCAGTAGCTCAAAAGAGGGAACAAGTCTTTATAGCCAGGATCATTCCCACCCCCTCCATACACAGAGTAGACAGGGATGGGCAACTTGGACATTGGCTACCCAAAGTGGGAGGGCTACAAATGTAAGAAATGACTGGCTTACAAGCTTTCAAGAGGGAACCTAGCTTTCAAGAGGGCGTGGAGGAAGGTAGAATCTCCACTGAATAGTATCCAATCTGTCCAGGTAAGGCTAATGAAAGGAAATACAGATAGGTCTCTTGTGATACAATAGTGAATAATTGTTATCAGGACTGATTGTGAGGGTTGGAAATGTAAAGGTAGACATTTTGTAGCAAGCAGGGGAGTGATTTACTTTGCAGTCTAGGAACTGAGGTCCCTGGGACCATTAAGGAGAAGAGTGGAGAGCAGGACCCTACCCAGAGATACCCTTTGGTTGGTTGATGATGCATGATGCATGGAGGGGACTGTAACCATGGCAATGAAATGATATAGGATAGAATGAATGTAAAACTAAGGTTCTCCCATGTAAACTATCATATAATTCACAATAAAACAAAAAAAAAGAATGCATTTCAACACTTAAAATTGCCATAAAGATGCTTTGGGAACTTTGATAAACACACAATTGGCAAGAGAAAAAGCAATTATTGTATAGATAGAAGTTCACTCCTTTCACAGTTACATCTTGCCTTGTTTTAGGGAAGGAAGGAAACCCCCAAACTAAACTCACTACTATAGAAATCCTCTACTAGGTTTCTCAGACTATAAATCTTTATGGGAACAAAAAACCATACCAACTAATTAGGAGGAAGGCTGGGTAAGATAGCTCACATTTATTTATGTTGTTATTTTTCCTCTGTTTGTGGAGCCATGTTGTGGTGCCGTAGGATAAACATTGAACTGCTAACCACAAGGTTGGTTAACAATAATCCTCTCTTGGGGAAAAAATGGCTTATGAAACTATATTCATGGAAATATATCTTGATATTAAAAATATAGAATAATGCAATATAAAAAAAAGAGAAAACTCTATGTGTGTGCATAGAAAAGCATATGAAAAGATGTATTCAAGGTATCTGTAGCCGTCGATGGAAACCTGGTGTGGTGATGCAGGTTAATGTGCTGGACCACAACATTGGTTTGAACCACAAGGTTGGCAGTTCAAGCTTACCAGCCACTCCACAGAAATCCTATATAGGGTCGCTATGAGTTGGAACCAACCTGAAGGCACTCAACAACAACAACAGCATAGTGGTAGATGAAGTCCTGGTGTGGCGGTATAGGATAAGCACTGAACTGCTAATTGCAAGGTCGACAGTTCAAACCCACCAGCCAGCCACTCCTTAGAAACCTTATACAGGGTCGCTATGAGTCAGAACTGACTCAACGGCATTTAATTGACTGAACAACAACAGGGTGGTAGACTTTGAGTTTGGGATTATGGAAGACCTTTATATGTATATTTATATTGCTGTAAAAGCCAAATGAAAATCTACAGCAATTTTGTCAACAACAACAAAAAGATAAAGATGGAAAACAAAAATCTAGTTTACATTATAATTTTTCACAGCTGAATTAACACTCTAGCTGCCTCATAGAGACCCTGTATAGGACTCCTGAGGTTATAAGTCTTTATAGGAACAGAAAGCCTCATATTTCAGGAGCAGCTCAATGTGTAGCCCATTATGCTAGCAGGACTTCCTAGTGTTCTAGGCTGTTGGCTAAAGGTTGAAGAGCAAGTTTCACCCTGTAGGGGAACCGAGTAAGGAAGGCAGATGTAATTCTGTTCTGAGGCCAGCAGAGGCTCTTCAAAGTGTTTGGTTTGCCTACAGAATATGGGAAGGAAAAGAGCAGAGAAAACGAAACTTACACAAAAGGAAACTAGAGAGCAAGGTTCCTCCTACAGAGATAAGCAAAGGAATTCCAGGAACCAACATTCTCCTGCTGCTGTCCAAACATCATGGGGACACTGAGATATACCCAGGCCAGTAATCTGGACAAGTTCATTGAAAACAATCTCCTGCCGGACACTACTTTCCGCAAGCTGGTCAAAGAAGCCATTGATGTTATCTGCACATTCCTGAAGGAGCGGTGCTTCCGCCAGAGCTGCCTCCCTGTGCGGGTGTTGAAGGTTGTGAAGGTAAGCCTTGCCTGAATGGGGAAAGGATGGGTGAAAGGGCAAGAGTTTCCCTGGAGAGGGCAAAAATAAAACACATGGGATATAAGTGTTAGAAGGAAGAACTATACCAAAGACAAAACCATAGCTGGTTAGAGGGTCTGAGATGTGAGTCTATACCTTATTTTTAATGAATGCCCCTGGGTGAAGGTTATGAACCACTCTCCTAGGCTATATGTATTTTTTGTTGTTGTTAAGTGTCATTAAGTCAGTTCCTACCCATAGCAACCCTGTCTAAGATTTCCAAGGGGTGGCTTATGGGTTTGAACCACGGACCTTGCAGTTCAAACTGACCTTGCAGTCCAGAGCATTATCCTACAGCACAGCACCAGGACTCCATATCCATTTTAGAGATAGGGAAAACTGAGGTCCAACTCCGAAAAAAATTTATCGGTGGCCATGGAGTCCTTGGGTGGGGCCAACAGCTAAGCTCTATACCTAGAGGTTGGTGGTTCAAACCCACCCAGAGTTTCCTCAGAAGATCGACCTGGAAATCTGCTTCCTAAAGGTCAGTCTTGAAAACCCTACATAGTAGTTCTCTGAATGCATGGGGTCGCCAGGAGTCAGAATAGACTTGATGGTAACTAACACCAACAGCAGCAATCAGGGGTCAGACTGGGACGTGCCATTTCTGCAGTGGCAAGAGTGGGTTGAGTATAAGTTATAAGGGCAGAGAGCACCCACTGGCTAGAAGATTTGGGGAAATCACTTAGCCTGCTGTGCCACCACTTCCTTCTCTATAAGTGGGGATAGTAATTCCTCATACTTCCTTGGGCTATGTGGATGAAGTAAAATAATGTATATAAACACCTGGCACGTACCTGTCTAGGGAATATGAAAAGACTTCCAAAAGTTCATGGAAAAATGGAATGAAAAGCTAGTGGGATTTCCCTGCAAATTTTGGAAGCCTCCTGGTATGATGTTGTTGTTGTTGTTAAGTGCCGTCGAGTCGGTTCCGACCCATAGCGACCCTGTACAGGGTTTCCGAGGGTGTAAATCCTTACGGGAGTAGAAAGCCTCATCTTTCTCCCGCGGAACGGCTGGTAGTTTCGAACCGCTGACCTTAGGTCCGCAGCCCGATTCGTAACCACTACGCTACCAGAGCTCCTTTCCTGGTATGATATAAGATAGTAAATGTCATGGGACACACATAGCCTCTGGAACAAGGCAGCCAAATCGATCCCATCTCTGTGACCCACTAACTGTATGATATGACTGGACTGGTTATATCATCTTTCTGTGCATCTATTTCCCCATCTGTAAAATGGGAACTAACAATACCTAAATCAGAGTCATTGTTAGGTTTCTAGGAGCTGAGATTTATACTACCCATAGGTCACTACAACCAAACCCACTGTGATGGAGTCCATACCGACTGTATATAGAGGTTTCAAGGCTGTAAATCTTTACAGGAACAGAAAGCCTCACCTTTCTCCCTTAGAGCGGCTGGTGGGTTTGAACTGCGGTTAGCAGTGCAGTGTTTATCCTACAGCGCCACCAGGGCAGTAAAACCCTCAATCTTGTCAGTGACTGTTCTCATCATTTATTCAGGGAGGCTCTTCCGGGAAAGGCACCGCCCTCAGAGGCAGATCTGACGCCGACCTCGTCGTCTTCCTCAGCCATTTCACAAGTTTTCATGAGCAGCTAGAACGCCGGGGAATGTTCATTGAGGAAATCAGGAAACAGTTGGAAGCATGTCAGAGAGAGAAAGTATTTAAAGTGAAATTTGAAGTCCACAGTCGATGGCAAAACCCTCGTGTGCTCAGTTTCAGTCTGAGTTCCCAATACCTTAACCAGTGGGTGGATTTTGATGTGCTGCCTGCCTTCGATGCCCTGGGTGAGTGCTTCCCTTGACCCAGAATGAGGCTTTTTTTTTCTCTCTCTCTGTTTATTTCTGACCATAGACCTTACACATTATGAACACATTTTTACAACAGGGCATCCCTTCAAAGTAGAGAGTCATGTTACCATTTCTCTTGAAGCAAAAATGAAAAAGGTCGTAATCAGTTGTGGGAGGCACATTACACAACAAATTAACACAATTTGGTTAAGTGCTGAGCTGCTGATCAAAAGGTTGGCAGTTCAAATCTTCCAAGAGGACCCTTGGAAGAAAGGCCTAGTGATCTACTTCTGAAATAGATTACAGTCACCAGGAGTCTGAACTGACTTGACAGCAGCTAGTTTGTTCTATAAAACAAAAACATGTTTTATATAACATCTGCAACTATTTCTAGTCCTACATATGGCCAGGCACATGGATTTTATCTTCCTAAAAATGAGAACTGGATAGAAGTTGGTAGCAGGAGCCAGACCACATTGGGTGTTGTAGCCCACTGGTGATTTAGGATTTTATTCTTGATGTTGATATGAAACAAAGAGTGGAGGGATCGATTTGAATAGACCGTTCTGGGTGCTGGGTGGTGCATGTGCTGTGGGGAACCAATGAGGAGGTCATGGTGGCTTGGGTGGGGCAGTGGTACTGGAAATGGGAGGGAGGTCAGGAGATAGAGTCTCAGATGTTTCATCTCTGGGCCTGTTACTCCTTTCACTGTACCCATAGTAGGTGAGGTTTTCTTCCCAAGCAGACAGAAAGAATCTCAGAGAAGAATTGATATCTTAAGGTGATGGATTCATCCCTAACAGGCCAGGTGACTAGAGGCTACAGACCTGACCCCCAAATCTACGTCCAGCTCATCAGCGAGTCCTTCCAGGGAGGTGAGTTCTCTACCTGCTTCACGGAGCTGCAAAGAGACTTCCTGAAGCAGCGTCCCCCCAAGCTGAAGAGCCTCATCCGCCTGGTTAAGCACTGGTACCAACTGGTAAGACCTTCCTGTCAGACCAGACCTGGAGCAAGAAATGAAGCGAATGTGGGTGGAGAAGGTGCTGTGAAGTGGGTTTTGATTCATAGGGACCCTGTATAGGGTTTCCTAGGAGCGGCTGGTGGGTTTGAGGAGAGGAGATGTGAAGGAAGAGGGAAAAGGAACTGTGAGAGAAGCGGAAGAGCAGAGAAGAGGTGGGGGAGCAAGAAGAGAAAGAGGATTTAGGATGAGGCCTGGGAGCTCAGGGGCCCTCCCCATCTCAGAAGACATCAACCCCATCATTCTAGACTCCTGTCAAAGTCCTTGGGCCTTTCTTGACTCCTCACATTTTCATACCTCACCCCCATCTGTCCTGTATTAAAATATATCCATAGTTAATCAATTGTCACTGCTCTCTCACTCTGAGCCTGGTCCATGTTATTGCGTGAGGTTCTCAGGTCTGCCCTTTCCCTCTCTGTCTTAATTCTCTAGCGCTGCAATAACAGAAATGGCTTTAACAAACTTCTCTATTTTCTCACATTTGGGGAGGCTAGAAGTCTGAATCCAGAGCCCCAGCTGTGGAAAATGTCCTTGACTCCTTTCAGCATCTGCAGGCTCAGCATTCCTTGGAGAACTTCATGCTTCTTGGCATCAATCTTTCCCTGGATCTAGGAGCTTCCCAGTGCAGGGCCCCAGGTGCAAAGGGCACACTCTACTCCCAGCTACTCTTCTTTCTTTGTGGTAGTTAGGTCCCCTTTCTCTGTTCACATCTCTCTCCTTTTATGTCTTCTGAAATAAAAGGTGTTGCATGCCACACCCTTGGGGAACTCCCTTACAAGGATTAGGCTATTATAGGATTACGGGTGATGTTTCTTGTTGTTGTTAAATCTCTTTGATTCTGTTCTGATTCATAGCGACCTTGTATAGGTTTCTAAGGAGTGGCTGGTGAGTTTGAACCACTGACTTTTCAGTTAGTGTTCCACACCAGAACTTCCGCCCTTAATTCTCTTATTGGTTTATCACATCCTGGGGAATCTTCACTTAACTGCTAAACCACTGAGAATCATAACCCCGTCAAGCTAACACATATTTTGGGGGGACACAATTCATCCCATGGCACTCTGTGAGCCTTTTCTCTTTCCCCTTGCTCCCTGCACACCAGCTGGGCTGACCTCTTTATCCCTCCTCCTAGGCAGATCTGCTTTAGCCTCAAGGCCTTTGCATCTCACAGGAAACCTTTGCCCCAGTGGTCACCTGGTTCCTCTCTCTAGTTTCTTTTAAATCCCAGCTCAAATATCACCACCTCTGAGAAATCTTCCCTGACTCCCTTTGCCTTGGAGTTGATGCCAACTCATAGCAACCCCATAGAACAGAGTAGAATTGTCCCATAGGATTGTCAAAGTTTGTAGGACTCCTGGTGTGGCACTGTAGGATCAGCACTGGACTGTGAACCATAGATGACAGTTCAAACCCCCCAGCTACTCCTTGGAAACCGTATACAGGGTCGCGATGAGTCAGAGTGACTCATCAGCACTTAGCAGCAACAACTATCTTTACAGAAGCAAGCAGACTGCCACCTCTTTCTTCTGCAGAGCCTCTGGTGGGGTCAAACCTACTGACTTTTTGTTCTCATCTGAGCGCTCTACCTCTGAGCCACCAGGTCTAAAATTGCCTACCCACTTATCATTCTCCATCTCCTTTATACAACTTTATTTTTCTTCAGAGCTTTTATCAAAAACAGAGCTGGCTTATTTATTTATTGTCTTCCCAACAAAAAATAAGTACATGAAGGGAGGGAAATTTATTCACTGCTGTGTCCCAAGGACCTTGAATAGTGCCTGGCACTTACTAGGTGCTCAATTAGTAACTGTAGAATGAATGAATGTTACAACTACACACAGAGACCACCATGCTCTTCAGAAGGTGATGGATCCGGCAGAACAAGGACTGGGTTTCAATTCCCCTTGTCTCACTTCTTGACTGTCTGACCTTGAGTAAGAACTTGACCTTACTGTACTATTTTCTCATTGGCAAAGGGAGTAGCATGGTTAACATGGTTATCATATCTGAAAAGCATTGATGAAATAACTGTTGTTGTTAAGTACTGTCGAGTCATTTCTGACTCATAGTTTCCAAGGAGCAACTGGAGAGTTTGAACCACCGTGTGGCCCAGTGCTTGTCCACCAGCGCCAGACCAGTACTCCTGAGAGGTCTTGAACAGTGTATCTTTCAGCAGAAGGGATTCTGTTTGCTTCTGGGAGTCTCATGGGGCCACTACCAGTCCTTCATTTCAGTTCATTGTCATTTTTGTATTCGCCCTAAGAGCTGGCTCCTGTTGGTAGCACTCACTTGGAAGACAAGGACAGGGCAATTTCAGAATCAGACAACAGCAGAGCCAGGATGCAAACTTCACTTAACTCAGAATCCAGAGCTCAAGCCCATAACCAAGGGTTATAAAATTATTCTGTAGCATACAAGATAGTCCACACGATCTGTGTCACAACAATTCAACCCCACCTTATAGCACAAAAACCACATAAATGAGTGGGCCTGACTTTGTTTCAATAACACTTTCTTTTCAAAGTCTATGGTTGACTGGATTTGCTAACCCCTGTCCATAACCATAATATAGCATGGTATGCAAGTCCCATGCATCCAGTCCTGTATTTGATACGGATGTGGGTGGGACAAGCGTATTTCCTCAGTTGTTTTTCCCCTTGGCAGTGTAAAGAAAAGCTGGGGAAGCCATTGCCGCCACAATATGCCCTGGAACTCCTGACAGTCTACGCGTGGGAGAATGGGAGCAACGAAACATACTTCAACACAGCACAGGGCTTCCGGACAGTCCTGGAGTTAGTCGTAGATTACAAACAGCTTTGCATCTACTGGACACAGTATTACAACTTTGAAAACTCCACTGTTTGCAAATATTTGATCAACAAACTCCAGGAGCCCAGGTATCTTCTCACCAACATGGCTTCTTGTTGTTAACTCCTAGAGACTCCTTCTAACCGAGTAGAAAGCCAAGTCTTTCTCCTTCTTCTTCTCCTGTGGAATCACTGGGTGGGTTGGCATCATCAACCTTTTGTTTAGCATCTGAGCACTTAACCATTGTGTCACTAGGACTTTTCTCATGTGGCTCAATTTCCCCACATAAAGGAACCCCTAGATACAACTATGTTGTTGCTGCTGCTGCTGCTGCTGCTGTTGTTAAGAGCCATCGAGTCAGTTCTGACTCAGCGACCCTGTATAGTGGAGTCCTTGTGTGGTGCTATGGCTTAATGCACTGGACTGCAAAGTCGGTTTGAACCGCAAGGTCATTAGTTCACGCTCAACAGCCATTTCTCAGAAACCCTATATAGGATCACTATGGGTTGGAACAGACTTGATGGCACTTAACAATAACAACAGCATCGTGTTTCTAGAGAGCAGTTTAGTGGGTTTGAACCACCAACCTTTTGGTTAGCAGTGCAGTGTTTATCCTACAACACCACACCAGTACTCTCCATACAGGACTTAGCATCAAAAGATACTCAATAAAGGTGGACTTCTCTTACCTCCTTCTTTTCCAAGGATGCAGCTATGGTACCTTGGAAATGAAAGAGGTGAGAGGCCCCCCGCCCCCACCCCCGCCGACTTTACTGAGCATCTTCTGATGTTAAACCCTGTGAGGGGCACTTCACACCTGCTACCTAACTTCCTCTACATGAGAACCTCCAATCTGATGAGGCAGACAATCTGCTACCACTTTACAAATGAGGAAACTGAGGTTCCAGAGAGGTAAGGCATATGCTCAAACCTTAACAGAAAAATAGGTGAAATAATGGCTGTCCTAATAACAGCAATAATAATCCTTTCTCTTGGATATCGCAAGCTCCCTTGTAAGTGGATATGTTCTAACATTCTAGTCAAAATGATAACTGACAATGATTGACCACTTACTGGTTTTTTTTTTAAGGTTTTTATTGTGGATTGAGTGAAAGTTTACAGGGCATATCATCATTTTTACATTCAACAAATCATATACCTTGTTTCATTATAATTACAATCACCTCCATGTACCATCAGTTAACAGTATTTCTCTCTATTCACTTTAGCTTTTTAAAAACAAAAAACAAAAACCCACTCAGGCATATATAATAATTTACATCTCCAAAGGGCACATTCTGCAAGTCTGCTCCTGGCCACCAGCTCTCAGTCCTTCTCTTCTTAGTCCATGAATCTAGAGTCCTCAGCCGCTCCATCTCTACATGCCCCCATCTCTGCCTCCATCTCTGGCGCTGCTGCTTCTCTGGATAAGGTCGAGAATTCTGCTTGTACGTTTCTCTCTTGATGGTCCTAGGGTCCTCTGTTTCTGGACTGTAAGATTAACCACTCCCCTAGCTCACTAGTTCTGGCTTCTATCTCTTCAATTCTCCTTTGCCCCTTCAGTGTATTGTCCATTTCTGATATTCTATTATTAATTGTTTGGACCTCTTTCTGTAGGTTTTTAATTGTATCCAATGCTGTATTTATCTTATTTGATTGTTCCTGTAGCACTTTCCTGACTTCTTCCTTATTTTTCTCAACTCCATTATATAGTGTTTTGAATCATTTTATAATCATTTTTCTAAATTCCTTCTCAGGCATTTCCAAAGCCTGCCCATCTTCCAGTATGGAGTGTAGGTCTACTTCCAGCTCATTTGCCTCAGTCACTTTATCTAGTTTCTGGACATGTGCAGATATGGCCATCTGCTTCTCATTTTTGGACATATTCAGGAGTTATCTGTGGCCTTAATACTTAGATGGGTGTGTATTTTGGTATTTTTTATGCTTTCTGATTGCCTCCAGGTAGATGTGATCAGGAAATGGGCTTCCCTTTTCACTCTTCTTCTTGAGAAATTTCAAGATGCCATTGTTGGTCATTGTGACATAACTTAGGATTTAATTTTTCACCTATCTCCTTTTTTGTCTGCTTATACCACTCTACAATCCCTGTTCAGGCCTTTTATCTAGTTATAAACAGTTCAGGGCTGACTGTGGCCATTTGGTTTTAAGTGGGAACTGTCTCTTTAAATTTCGAGGAGATCTGTGCACATGCGTAGTAGAACCCTCCAAGTGTGGGGCTGGTGTGTCCACTAGCTCAGGCATCCCTATAGTCACCAGAATGGAGGTGCACAGACAGCAAGGGACCAATGAACAGATACCAAAAGAGAAGAATGTCCACACCTTTATCTCCGCGGTTCTGTCAGGCATCTGTGGCTGCTCTGATCCTTCCCCTGCTTGGTCTCACCCAAGATGGCGGCTCTTGGAGCAGCTGAGCGTCTTGAATTAGAAAGCAATGGATTTCTTGCTTCTGCTACAAATTCCCCTAGCTGTAAGCCTTCCAATCTTCTAAATATTCTTTTATATGTGGTTCAGAGTTCTGGGACCATCCCCTGAGCCTGCTTGGACCCTATCCACCATCTTGTTTGTTCTCCCCCCACTTATTGTTTTTAAGTGCCCTCTAGTTGGCTCTGACTCATAGTGACCCTATATAGGGTTTCTGAGGCTGTAAATAGAAAATCTCATCTTTCTCCCACGGAGTGGCTGGTGGGCTTGCACTGTCAATTTTGTGGAAGCTTCCCTTTGATCACTTACTTTGTTTCTCTTAATATACTGAACTTTTACCAGGCCTTGTCTCTCTAGCATCATATCACTCCTTTTGAGGTAGTAGAAATACTCAGCTCTCCCCATTTCACAGATAAGGAAACTGAAGCTTGAGTCCAGGGCATCACCATTAATAAAGAGTGGGGATGCAATTCAAACCCAGGTTTATCAATTCCCAGATTTGAGCTCTTTCTCCTTATGCTTCCTGCCCAGCATCAGGCAGGGTACTTGGAACACACCTCAAAAAGCAGGGCCCTTCCTCGTGCCCCAGGCTCCAGCCTCTCCAGCAATATCTAGGCTCTGTGGATCTACCCCAGCTCCTCACTTGCCGTCTCTAATCCTTGCTCTTCAGGCCTGTGATTCTGGACCCAGCTGACCCTACCGGAAACGTGGCTGATGGAGACCCAGAGAGCTGGCTGCGGCTGGCCCGGGAGGCTTGTGATTGGCTGACCTACCCATGCTTTGAGAACAGCAATTGGTCTCCAGTGAAGTGCTGGAATGTGCCGGTAAGACCTCCTCCTTCCTGTTGTCCATTCCCCTCGACTTCCTGCACACAACTTGGGACCTGGAGCTGGAGACCATTCTCCCCTAAGCAGGTCCGGCTCTACATTTTACTGTCATTTTGGCCCCAATCAGAAGGTTCCTGAGCACATTCTTTAATTCATACAGCCTCAGTTGGCTCATCTCACTAAGAAGGATAAGAAATCGTGACAGTCACCACTTATCATCTGCTATGGGTTCAGGTTCTGCTAAGCCCTTTAGTAGACATCCTCTCATTAAATCCTCACAACAACCCTATGAAATATGTTTTCTATTACTTCACCCTATAGATGAGGAAATGAGGCTCAGAGAAGGGAAATCACTTGCTCAAGGGCACTTAGCTTGGTGGACGTCTTAAACCAGTGTTCACTCCACTCTACTAAAGGGTACCTTATCTAATCTCCATCTATAATCAGATAAATAGGACACCTACAGCAGTTGAGTCACTTGGGCCATGTTACAGCTGACAAGGAGCAGAAGGACCTGATCTTAGGATCCCAGGGCAGGGGTCTTTCTGTGGGACCATTCTGAGGCCGGAAATTCACAGTGTAGTAGGTGGGTTCCCCACAAATCAGCCTCTGAGATGGAGTATAGCATGCAGAATGTTTATCAGGGAGTGAACTTGGAACAGTGACCAGGCTGAGGGAGAAGTGATCAGTATCTGGCCTGCACCACAAAGAGCCCTTTAAAATGCTCCCATGGTACACTCAGACCATCAGTCCTTTACCCTCAACGTGGACCCTGTGGGCGTGTCCGAAAGAGTGTGGCTTCCAGCAAGGTGACTCTGCAGCTGACCAGTTGCCAACTCTGACTCATGGTAACCTCGTGCGTATCAGAGAAAGAACTGTGCCGCATTTTCAGTGGCTGCTTTTTGGGGTGTAGAATGCCAGGACTTAATTCCAAGGTAACTCTGAGTGGACTCATACCTTTCAGCTAGTAGCAGAGAATGCGAACCATTGTCACCATACAAGGACTCCCTCTTTGCAGCTAAAGCAACCCGGAAACAGTCCTACTTTCAAAGGAGATACAAAGCCAGAAGATACTTCTTGAAAGAAAGACCTACAGGAAAAATACAAAACAATAAGGGCAGTCCGACTGTTACCACAAGAACAAGCAAGTTGCTTGCCCAGGAGACATCAAGGCAAGTGGTCAGTTCCCCTCAGTGCAAATCCTCTTCCAAGACTAAGACGCAATGGGAATACATGATCTGATTAGCGACCACGCATGTCACCCATAAGGGAAAGTGAGGGAAAAACAGCAATGAAGCGGCGAGCTAAGCCCTACATCGTTCAGCAGACTCCTGGGAACCCAGGTGGAAACCTGGCCAGCCAGCAGTGTGGCAAGACCTGGAGACTCATGGGCTTAGAGTCAGTGACACAGCCACAGAACTAGAGTGGAGAGCGAAGCGTCCAGCTGATAAGAAGAGGGCGGACAGTCGCAAGAACACCCACACTTGCAGATGATACCCACCTGACCTGGCTTCAACGACTGGATGATCAGAGCTCAATCCAAAGAAGAAAGAAGAGGAAAAAAGTGTCATCTTATACAATTTGATAAACTTGACCTACACCTATAAATACAGTAGCTCAAAAGAGGAAACAAATCCTTGCAGCAAGAATTATTCCCACCCCCTCCACACAAAGAATAGACAGGGATGGGCAACTTGGACATTGGCTACCCAAAATGGGGGGAGGGATACAAAGGTAAGAAGTGACTGGCTTACAAGCTTTCAAGAGGGAACCTAGATCCAAACGGCGTGGAGGAAGGTAGAGTCTCCAGTGAATAGTGTCCAGCCTGTCCAGGAAGGGCTGATGAAATGAAAAGCAGATGGGTCTCTTGTGATGCAATAGTGAATAATTGTTATCAGGACTGATTGTGAGGGTTGGAAATGTAAAGGTGGACATTTTATAGCAAGGGGGGGAGTGATTAACTTTTCAGTCTAGCTGCAGAGGGCCCTGGGACCATCAATGGAGAAGAGCAGAGAGCGGGACCCTACCCAGAGAAGCAGTGAGGCCTGAGATGGAGGCAGAGACGATGACTTGAAGAGATGGAGTGGCTGGGGACTTGAGATCCAGAGAGGGAAAGGGGTTGTGTGTTGTGGCGGGGGGGGGATGGGGGAAGAGGGCAGGCTTGCAGGGTATACCCTTTGGTTGGGTGATGATACATGGGCAGGATGGTAACTATGGCAATGAAACGATGTATGATAGAATGAATGTAAAACTAATGTTCTCCCATGTAAACTATCACAATTCACAATAAAACATTTATTTAAAAAAAAAAAAAAAAGGAGATCCAGAAGGGACACCCTGGTATCCACCAAAAACCACCACTGAAATCCAGTGGCACGGTGGGATGCCCACCCCTAACATGATCGTGTGTTTAACTCTTTCAGCCTGAAACCAGTTCCTTACCCCTCTCCCTCAAGGTGCTTCAGCTGGATGGTTACATGCAGAGCACTCGTCCTTCTCAGAGAATCATCACACAGCAGGCTGTGACCACTCCGCAGACAGAAGAGAACTGGACATGCACCATTTTCTGAATACAGTGCAGATTTGGGAAAGAGCTCAGAGTCAGCCCCTCCAGGGCCAGCCCCATAATTCCTTTGGCCCAGAAAAGAGGGGACTGTCCCACACAGTAAACTGGTGTCGTACTTAGAACCAGAATCCAGATCCCCTGACCTCCACCTTTTCCACTCCTCTATGTTTTCTGCTTATCATAGAGCCTAGCCTCTCTCTGCTAATAGTGCCAACAGAAGAGATTTAGACAAGAGAGCATGATCCCAGACTACTTAACTTTCTTCTGTGTCCCTGGCTGCAGGATCATGGTCCAGGTTATTATCATAACAATAAAAAGAATAGCAAAGATTTATTGTTTATCCAACTGCAAGGCACTGAGTCAAGATATGTGTGTGTGTTCATTGATTCAACTAGAAATATTTATTGAGCACCTACTATGCAGACAATATCCCTGGCCTCAAGGAGCTGGCATTTGAAAAAGACATTTTAATGTTGGACAGTTAAGAATCCTTCCAATTTTCAAATTGCAAATAAGCCTGAGGGAAACACCCTTGGTTCATAAATCATTATTCACTACACTGGTTAATTCTAGAAGGAAAACTCTAGACTAGATCTGACTAATACAGTAGCCTCTAGCCACAATAAGCTTATTGAGCACTTGAAATGTGAATAGTCCAAATTGAGATGTGCTGTAAGTATAAAATACGCACTGGGTTTCAAAGACCTGGTACAAAAGGAGAATGTCAAATTCTTGATAATTGTTCTTTTAAATATATATATATACAGACGTGTGTGTGTTAAGTCAACTTTGCATTCCAGTGCATTAATCCCCAAAGCTACACCAGGACTCTCTATCTCTCTCTATATATAGTTATATAGATAGATAGATAGATAGATAGATAGATAGATAGATAGATAGATAGATAGATAGATACAAATTTTTTACTCCATATATATAGTACATGTTAAAATCACAATTTTTTTTTAATTCTATTGAGTTAAAATTAATTTTACCTGTTTCTTTTTTACTTTTTTAAGAGTCTGGTGGCATACTGGGTTACCCATTGGGCTGCTAACCATGAGCTCAGCAGTTCGAATCTGCCAGTAGCTCTTTGGGAGGAAGATGAGGCTTTCTGCTCCTACAAAGATTTACAACCTCAGAAACTCTATACAGGGTCGCTATGAATCACAATCGATTCCATGACCCACAACAACACTTATTGTTGTTAGGTGCCATCGAGTAGGTATCGATTCATAATGACCCTGTGCACAATAGAATGAAATACTGCCCAGTCCTGGGCCAACCTAACAACTGTTGCTGTTTGAGCCCATTGATGCTGCCATATTGCCACTCCATCTCGCTGGGGGTCTTCCTCTTTTTCTCTGACCCTCCAC